GTGGGGGGGGCAAAGGGAAGGGGAGGAGATGTGCCTCTAAGCACAGAGGGGAAGGGGGAGGGGATTCTCACCTACTTTGGGGACTTTAAAAAAGCCCCCAGATGTTCCTGAAATGTGTTCTGTCATGCTACTGCACCCCCACTGCATCCACCCCTCGTACCATCTGGCTCAGGGAGTTAATGCCAGAATTGCTATTGATAAAGAGAACAAGTGGTAGGATTAGAAATGAATAAGTGAAAAATTCTAGTTCAACAAAGTACAATGCGTTAAATATATTGTGTTGCTTATTTTTCCCTGTGCATGTGATTTGCATGTGCATGCTCAGACATCTGTAACAAGCATGTGCATGAATTCATGGATTGTGACGCTGGAGTTTCCTTTGCAAATTGTGTCGTGCCTTGTATTATCCCAGTCAAACGGTAGGGATTATTTTGTTCTTAATTTGGTTGACCAAGTAACTTTGATCCAGTATTAAAGTTGCGTATAGATTATTTTCCTTGTTAATTTAATGAGCATTCTAAAAATATTTTAGAAGAAAAATCTTGCTTGCAATGCACCAGTTTCCTTTTTTCCTAGTGTACAATGAAGTATTTAAACGATGTGCATGAAATAATGCAAATAATATTTCCAGTTGATTTATGTAAAATATTAAAAGAGTATGTATTTTGTTTAGTTACTGTTACTCTTTGTTAAGCACATGTCCTTAAAAATATGATGCTTGCATCATATTTCTGGAAAACTAACTTTACCTAGGAAAAGGATGCTAAAAGAGGACCCTCCAAAGTCCCCCTTTTTCCAACAAAACCTCTTTTGATCTCAAAAACAGATAACTGAGATTTTTATTAGCTTATCTCAAAATATTATTTTCCACCTTGTGATATGGCTTTTTAATTGACCTTGTCTGTGCTGCTGATGCTCTCCAATGGAGTGGATGATCACAGATATTACAGATGGACATTGAACCATGACCTGTGATACAAAAATGTGATATTTGAGCTGTGAACAAAATGGGCTTTTTGTGTCCTGTATTATATTCTTTGTGGGGTGGGGGTTCAGGCCTTTGGCACTCTTAATTTGGTTGTGGGTTAAATGTTTTTTCTTTTTGTGAATTTAGCCCTCCTCAGACTGAAGCTTCACCAGTGGCTTCACCAGATCCACAACGCCAGGAGTGGTTTGCTCGATACTTCACATTCTGAGAGATAGTTTGTTTTTGTGGCACAGCGTGATGTGGACTGTTTATAAGAGCATGACCTTAAAAAAAAACCCTTATGTGAACAAGCTTTCCTGTAATATGTCAAACACTGTGAATGAGAAAGTATTTGTCTCTCTGATTGAAAATGCACTGTATTTCATGTGTTATTTGTTGGAACCACTTGACATGGTACTATATAATGTGAGTAATTATCTCTAATATTTTTATTTAAAATGAAAGAGTCTTTAAACTTTGTAATTACTACATAATAAATTTTGGTAGAACAAACTAAACGCTTTTCCCCTTTTTCCTATACATAAGTGTCTTCTTTGGTTTCAGGTACCATTTTTACCCCAAAGCAATGTCCTGCATGATTTCTAGATATCAAAATAAGATTTCAATGGGAAAAACATCAGAATAGGGCAAGGAGTGTTTAATTCATCCCAATTTTATTCTGTTATTTTGTAGCATTTTAAAAACTGTCCATTCCATAACTTTTTGAGTGGTGAAGCATTTGAAATCAGAACGAGTGTCGTTGCTAGCCTTCAAAGGTGAATGATTTTGACAAGAGCATAACAAAAAGGAAAATGCTTAATGTTTCTTTTGCGCTCTAGACCTACTACTGATCAGACTTTACCTCTGAGTAATAATTGCAGTGTTTTAATGTTCAATATCACCAGCAATTCTTCTCACAAACTGTATAATTATTTTATAATGATCTGCAAAGGCAAAATGATTTTTTGAACACTTGGAATACTAAACTAAGTATCACTTAGAAAACCAAGAATCTCATTTTGAGGATGCTCGCCCTCTGAATAAAATTCATGCTTTAAACAAAATATCCCTAAACCAATTATATACACTACTGTATGTAAACCTTTCATTAAAAAGCAATTTTATTACATTCACTCCGTTAAAGAATTTTTTTTACCCTTGTAAAATCAATCCGTGAAACACAAGAGTTGTAGAGGTAGCAAGCCTGATTCTTCAGTCTGTTACACACATCTGATGCCAGCATTCCCCCTTGAGAGAAAATTGCTATAAGAGATTGGAGACTCATATTTACTGTCTTTATTATTTATAATTGTTGTTAATTCACAGATTACCACACAGTAATTTACACTGGTAATCTCAGGGAGAAAATGGTCTCTTTGTGTTTATGAATGTACTTTACATCTGAATCTCTGTATCTTTTAAAAGTGTCAAGGAACTGTTTGCTCTATTATTTAAATAAGGTTTTAGTTGGCACAAACAAAAAATATATCTTCGTTATTCCTCCTAAAGCTCTATTTCCCTTTATGCAAAAGGTAAATATCCAGTTGAAGATGCTCGATAGTTACAATAATAAGTTTTTTATGTAGTATATGTATAAATGAAAAATTTGTATGTTTTCATATAAATAATATAAAATACTCTAAATTAAAATTTTAAAAATGTTTCTCCTATAACTCATTTTGAAAATGTCACAAAAGCCGTGCTCTGGTGATGCTGCTATAGTTTAAAGAAGTGAACAGCAGATTCTCTGTAGTTGGTGAACTCAGCTGTAGGTATATGCAACTTTTTTAATTGTAGAAGAAAGCCATATTGGGCAAAATGTCAGATTTCTTGGCTGTTACCCAAAATAAAATACACACAAGATAATTTTGATATATGTTCTGATGCGAGTGTTGTGTCTTTTCTTCCCTGTCTTGCCACTGTTGTTAAAAGAGTATTGCATCTTTGCTGGATCAGCTCCCTTTTAATTAGAGCATTAAGTTGCACAGCCATAAATTTTTGCTTGTGAAATATATCGTTATAAATAACAATTAAAAGAAAATAATCTTTCATGCTTATTCATGGTTTTTTGCTCTTTTTAGTAAATGATGTGTCAATAGTCTCTCCTATTGGGCATGATCCTTCCACTTGGGAAGAGGGCAAGGTCAAGAAACCGTCTCTTCTAGAGTCAGATGATTTCCCATTACCAAACAAGTTCATCCTGGCAAAAACAATCAACACTAAAGGGGACACTGGAAGAATTAAGTTTTTCTCGTATGGCATCTAGAAACTTGATACAAGGTTTCTTTCCTCATAATTTTGATTAGTAGCTTGCATCTTAGATTCATAGAGGTCTGCTTTAACAGATCTGATTACTGATCCACCTAAACTTGTATCCGGACTCTTGAAGTACCTGATGCTTTAAAGAGCTGGAAAATATGCAAAATGTGCCTAGCAAAGAACCCAGTCTGCAAACTCTTGCCCACATTTTAGTTCTCCTTCATTGCCTCTTTGTTGCTTTGTCTACAATCAAATAAATGCTATGAGACTACTCTTATAAATTAGGATTTTCAGAATTGATATCTATCTGTGTAGTATTGTTCAGGGTATAGGCAAATTCCTGAAATTCACGTTGATCCTTTTGTATTCTGAAGCATTAAACTATGTAGATTACACATAGCACTATCTTAGCATTAGAGTGATGCATTTTTAGAGGTAGTGTCTGTAAGTGTACCTGTGCAACTGCATGCAAAAAAGAATTTGCACCTCCAAAGCCAATTTACTCTCATTATCCATACAGGCCTTGTCTACATGAGACATTTACTGCACAGCTGACTGATTAGCTGCATAGTAAACATCTGTGTACCCCTATCAGGCTGGAGTAAACTAATTTACTCTGCAGCAGCACATGTATAGATGCTGCCAGGGCTGGCTGGGGCATGAGAGTGCTTCAGTGCTGGGGTTGCCCTGTACTGAACCTCCCTTGTGCCCCAGCCTAACCCCCAGCAGCACGCGGAGCTGGGGGTGAGCAGCCCCAGGCTGACCCCCCAGCTCCACACTCTGCACCTGAATAAACTGCAGAGCCTATTGCTCCGGAGTTATTTGCTCTTGGGCACGTGTTCAAACAGCGTGCCTGGGAGCAATAAACCCTAAAGCAATAAGCTCTGCAGTTTATTCAGGCACCATAATAGCATATGTACGCACCCACAGACAGCTTAAGCTGCAAAACCTATATGCACTAGTTAAGTGTTTAGGTAAAATGGTGCATCACATTTGAAAATCAAGTACCTATTGTCACTTCTACACATTTGCTGTAGAAAAGATCACTTCAAACATCAATTTAGGGACAATAAAAACACTTTAAAAAAGCTATTCGATCTGAAATTGTATTTGCTGGGAATCTGCCTCAAGCTAAATATTTCTGGAAAGCTTCAGCAATTTCCAAACTTGAGGCTAGGGCAAAACCTATGTTACCACCCGTATGAAAAACAAATACATCTGGCAGCCTTCTTTTCAGATAGTTCTGGCATCCATGCGCTTTGGAGCAGAGACTTTAAATTGGATCTTTGTGTCAGGAATTTGCCCTTTGCTGTTTTAAAAATGTTCCGAAATTGGCCAAGTCATAATCTTTTGAAAAAATTACTTTATGAATGTTCAGAGACTTGTTTGATTCTAGCAGTTAAAATCTCTGCAGGGCGACCTGAATTGAGTATGCTCAAGGCTCTCCATATGCATCTACACTGCAATGCCAGTGTACTGGGGGCACGGGGAGGTACTTCTGAGCACACCTGCCCACCCACTTCCTCATGTACATGCCAAACCAGAAAATGTAGTGCCAGTGAAGCCACTCCACAGGAGTCTCCCATGGTTGCTCTCAAGTACATTGAAGACAGAGGTCTCAAAAGTAGCCACAGAGGGATGCCTCTCGAGTGGCTTTACTGCATTTCTGGGTTTGATATGTGGAGGCTGGAGTAGGTAGGTGCTTATGCTTGCGAACATCCCTCCCTGGATGTTCCAGTATAGACGCATCATCATGCTTCATATTGCTGATCAGACTATGGCATTGTGCATGTGCTGTCTTCACAGAGCAAAGGAGTGTGTACCAGGGAGTAGAATCGCAGGAGTTTCCCCAGAATGGATGGAGCCAGCTAATCCCTGCTAGAATGGGTCTAGCAAGTCAAGAGCATGTCTGTCCTGTGTTCTCAGTAACCCTCCTGTTAGCACCCAGACAGCTAGGAGCAGTTTGATTCAGATACACAGGGGACAAAACCTGGACAAGGGAGTATAGGAAAGGGATTATGTTGTGATAAGGAATCTCAAGACACTGTGGTTGGAAGGGACAGAGAAAGTGCTACTAGGATTTGGAACAAGGAGATTGGGGTCAGTTTGGCAACAATATTAGGAGTGAGAGTCAGGAAAATGGAAGGACCCAGGATGAAGTGGTGGGAAGAGGAGAGAACAGCCTGGAATGAGGTGAAGGAATATAGACAAACATGACATTAAACCATGTCACCAATGTCTATTGGATCAGGAGCCCAGGGTGGGAGACTGGGACTAGGAATCAGTAAGGGTGAAGGTAGATAATGAAAGGAGCTAGAGGGGGAATTAGGCCTGGCTAGGCAGGAAGATGAGGACTGGATGTAGGGAGGAGGAGAGAGTGAGAACTGAGGGAGGAAATAAGGACTCAATCATGGGCATAAAGTGATATTGCCTAGGCAAGGGAACTGCAACTGGTATGAGAAACTTTAAGTAGAGACTTGGACTGGGTAAGCAGAGAATGAGATTGGGACAAGAAACCAGAGGCGAGAAAGACAGGACTGGGACAGAAATAAAACAGGAGATCAATGTTGGGGAGGAGGGAAGAGCCAAATCAGTGCCCCCAGAGCCTGGAATGGACCCTAAAATCCCTGGGTGTGATCACTCCTTTTTTGGGGAACCAGGGAAATGGCATCTAGGAGAGCTTGAGAGATTAACTTTAATGACATGGTCATGTACTACTACATTCTGGATTCATGATCTCAGTAGGGATGAATCAAAGTTGCATAACAAAGGAGACTTATTGTATACTTTGTCATGTTTGCTGCAGAATTGGAAGGTATTCAGTGAATGAGGTGGGGTTAGAGAAAAAGATAGTCTCATAAAAGAAACATGTTCTGAAGCACAGTACAGAGCAGGAGGTAGGCCTAGCAAAAGTCTCTGGGTCAAGGTCATCAGGGAGAATGGCAAGGGTGCTGTCATGGCAAGTGTCTGCTGTAGAATAACTTAGAGAAGCTGGATGTTTTCATGTTGGCAGGACCAGGTGGGAGTCATCCTGTAGTATTGAAGGGTTTGGCTGAAGTAATTTCAGAGCCATTGGCTATCCTCTTTGAGAACTTGTGAAGGGTGGGGGAGGTCCCAGAAGACTGGAAAAGGGCAAATATAGTGCCCTTCTTTAAGAATGGGAGGAAGGAGAATCTGGAGAATTACAGATTAGTCATGCATGATCAACTTTATTTCCTCCTATGATGAGGTGACAGGCTCTGTGAAACTGGTAAGCCCTCACTTTATCAAGGTGTTTGACAGTGTCTCAATACATTTTCATTAATAAGCTTAAGAAGTAACAGGTGACAAAAGTACTGTAAGGTGGATATACAGCTGGCTGGATCACTGTGCTCAGCATCAATAGTTCAATGTCTAGTTGGGAGGAGGTATTGAGTAGGGTTCCTCAGGGGGCCCGGTATTATTTAGTAACTTCTTCATGATCTGGAGGATGGGATGGAATGCACATTTAGCAAATCTATGGACAACATCAAGTTGGGCAGAGTTCCAGACACTGCAGTTGGGCAAGGTTAGTATTCAAAATGACCTTGATAAACTGTTCAAATTATCTGAAATCAATGAGATGAAATTCAACAAAGACAAATGCAAAGCCCCATACTTGGGATGGAATGACTGCATGCAAAAATAGATTGGGGAAGGAGAAGGCTGCATTACTACGGAAAAGGTCTGGGGATTACAGCAGACCGTAAACTGAATATAAACTAACAGAGTACTCTTGTTGCAAAAAACGCCAATGCCACACTGGGCTACACTAACAGGAGTATCACTTGCAATTCAAGAGAAGTGATTATCTTGTTCTATTTGGCATTGCTGTGGCCTCATCTGAAGTACTGTGTCCAGTTTTCAGCCCCTCACTTCAGGAACGTGGAAAAAAAAAAAAAAAAAAAAAAAAAAAAAAAAACAAAAAAAAAAAAAAAAAAACAAAAAAAAAAAAAAAAAAACAAAAAAAAAAAAAAAAAAACAAAAAAAAAAAAAAAAAAACAAAAAAAAAAAAAAAAAAAAAAAAAAATCAACAGTCCAACAGGGAGTGACAAAAATGATTAGAGGCCTCGGAAATACAGCTTGTGAGTGCAGGCCAAAAGAACTAGGATTATTTAATTTTGAGAAGACTGAGGGGATTTGATAAGTGTTCGAATACTTGAATGTCAGTTATATGGCAGATGGAGATAAGGCTTCCATGGCTACAGGGGACAGGACTGGAACAATGGGATTAAATTGCAGCAAGGGAAATTTAGGTTGGATATTCAAAAACACTTTCTTACTATGAGGGTGGTTAAGCACTGAAACAGACTACCCAGAAAAGTTGTGGAATCTCCATCACTGGACATTTTTAACAGCAGATTACATAGGCACTTGATTTGGGACAGTTTCATCAAGAACAACCCTGCCTTGAGAGGGTTGGATTAGATGACCTCCTGAGGTCCCTTCCAACCCTGCTGTTCTATAATTAAGGCAGCCAGAATCTATCCTGGAAAATTAGATTGTATTGCTGTCTATACCATTGATTTCCTTTGTGATGCTAAGGAAGTCCATCAAGTGAAATTTTTCACAGGAGGTCACTAATCATATGTTCATTTTCTGGTTGTACAGCTTGAAGACCCTGGGACATGATTTTTAGAAGTCTTGAATAGGGCTATGCAGATAGCTGATTTTTTCAGTTTGCTCACATTTCCACAAAAAAAAACCCAGAAAAACTTTAGGTCATGAACATTTTATGAAATGAAAATACTACGCTATTTTGAGCAATCAAACAGTTA